GCTCAGGAGGCGCACCTGTGGGACGTGCGGGAGGCGCACACGATCGTGGCGGTGCAGCGTGGCGCGCGCCGCGCTTTCCAGCAGCGCCTGCGCGAGCGCGGCGTGGAGATCGTGGAGTTCGACTTCCTGAGCCCGCTGGCGCTGGCGCAGTACGCCTACCACCGCGGCTTCCTGCGCTGCCTATGGGAGTGCGGCGGGACGCTGGCCGCGCCCGCCATCCAGGCGGGGGTGATTCACAAGGTCATGGCCTTCGTGGCGCCTAAACTGGTGAGTGGAGAGGGTTTTGTGGCAGGGTTGTTGCTGGGGCCCATGAGGAGGGAGGGGAGGGGGGACCACAGTACCTGCGATTGGTGGCATGGCTGCACGCCAGGCGTTAGGCCCAGCAGGCTGGTCCCTTGACCCCTTGGCAGCCCCTTTGCCGTGGGTGTTGCGTGTGTGCCGTGTCCCCTGCCTCCCTGCATGGGCCGGGAGAGGGGGGGGGGGGGGCATGCTCTCTGCGAATGCCCCTGCCCGCAGCCCCTGCCCACACCGCCAATCCATCACCTCATCCCTCCCCGGGAAGATCGGGGGTGTGCTGGCTCCCACGCCCCTGGGCGAGCTGGGCTTCGTGGAGATGACCCAGGCGCTCCAGCTGGCGGAGGTGGAGTGGCGGCCGGTGGGGCCCGATGTGGTGTGCCAGGGCTACCTGCCCAGCTCCGGCGGCCCGGCGGCTCTCCTCGCCGCCCAGCTCCCCGGGCGGGGCCAGGGGCAGACGGGGCCGGCGCAGCAGCAGCAGGTGCAGCAGGGACCCCGACCGACGGAGCCGGACGATGCGGTCTTGGCCGCACCCGCGCCCGCCCCCACGACGCACGCCCCGGCCGGCCCGGCGCCCCCGGCCCCGCGCCTCTTCTACAAGTGCTGGGACGCGCTGGGGTGCCTGAGCAACTTCTCGCCCCACCCCGTGTGCCTGCCCGAGGCGCCGCTGACCTCGGCAGACCTGCTGCGCCACGCTGTGCCCGCCCGCGCGCCCATGACCGCCAGCCTGGACGAGTGGGTGTGCCCTCTTGGCGAGGGGGAGGAGGGGGCCGCCGGCGCCGCGCCCCACGCAAGCTCGGCACGCCTCTGGCCCACATCGGAGCACTACTACCAGGCCCAGAAGTTCGCGGGCGTGGCCGGCGAGGCCGCCGCGGCCCTGCGCGCTGCCATCGCCGCGGCGCCCTCGCCCGAGGCGGCAGCCGCGCTGGCGCGCGCCGCGCAGCGCGCGCGGCCGCGCCTGGTGCGCCCCGACTGGCACAGGGCCAAGGTGGCGGTCATGCTGCACGTCCTGCGCGCCAAGTTCGCGTCCCACCCCGACGCTGCCGCGGCGCTGCTGGGGACGGGGGACGCGCCGCTGCAGGAGGACGCGCCGCATGACTACGTTCTGGGGGCGGGGCCGTGACGGGTACGGGGAACAACATGCTGGGCAGGCTGCTGGTCCAGGTCAGGAGCGAGCTGAGGGCCGCGGGGAGGGAGGGGCTGCTGAACGGCAGCCCCCAGAACGTGTATGAGCTGCTGTGATGCTCGCTGTGATGGACTGTGAGCCTGGGAAGTGACAGCAGGCTGCTGGAGCAGAGAAAACGGCGAGGCCAGCCTGATGCACTCCGGGTGTGGAGAGCTCGCAAACTCACCTGGGCATTGATGCGTAGGCAGGCGCCCGCTGTTCCAGCACTGCCTGCTGGGGGGAAAATACCAGCCGGGACCGTCTGCCTCCGCATGCTCAGCATGCGGTCTAGCAACTTCGGTGAGGTCCTATACAGGTCGATGGGCCGGGCCTCGTCCTCCTCCAGCACCCATGTCACGGATTTAATTCCATACACAAGAGCTCCTTCCTCCAACATGGTGGGTATGGTGGGCCTGGGGAGATCATCGGCGTGGAGTGCGTCGACAGTGGCACTGTCCGGCCAGTCCAGTCGGCACTGATCACTCGATGCAGGATGGTGTGTTGAGTACGGCAACGATAAAACATCACCTGGTTCTACCAACTCCCCATACCAATTGCTCCATCGCCCTTCCCCCGCGCCACAGGCCAAGTTCGGGGAGGGTGATGAGCGCTGGCTGGTCAAGGACCTGGGGCAGGACGGGCGCAACGTCAACAACTGGCACTGGTGAGGCCGCCAGGAAGGCATCAGGGCCTCCTGTTTGGCACCCCCGATCATCAATGCCCGTACAGCGCCGGACCACCGCCTGGCCCCCACAACCCCACACCGCAGGGTCGAGAGGGATGCCCTGCCCTGGAGCAAGACCCGGCTGACGGAGCTGCTGGTGGGCCAGTCCCTGGTGCTCGAGGACCAGCCCGCCGTCACCATCACCAAGCTGAAAAAGCTGGAGGGTGAGGCCATCGTTAACAACCGCAAGTCCAAGATCATTGTCGCCTACGAGCTGGAGGCAGTGCTGGCCTGGGAGGGCACCGCGCCCGACGGCGCCAAGGTCAAGGGCGAGCTGAAGCTGCCCTACATCAGCGAGGAGAACCACGATGAGGACCCGGAGGTCCTGGTCAGCCTGAAGGAGGAGTCCAAGGCGGGGCAGGCAGTCAGGGACCTCATTGTGAAGCATGGCCGGCCGGTGCGTTCTGGGGCGGTTGTTCAGTTTCATGGGTTGAGGGGTGGCGGGGGGGGAGTTTGGGGGGACTCTTGCAGTCCTCACCCCCATCTTCCAGCTCTTGAGTGTGCAGTAATCTGCGCTGGTCATCCCTGGGCACCCCTGGCATTGATCGAGGTCACCGACGAGACTCCGCGGCCTGTCCTCCACCTCCCCACTTGTGCACTCCAGGTGGTATACCGGGCCATGTCCCAGTTCGTGTCGGAGCTGAGGGCGGGCGGCCCCGTGACCAAGGGCGGCAGCGAGGCGGCCTCCGACAACGGGGCTGCTTCAGCTGCCCGTGGCGCTGCCCCCGCCGCCACCTCAGCCACCCCAGCCGCCACCGATGCCCCGGCCGCCTCCGGCAGCGGCCGCGCGCCGCGCGACCGCCGCCGCATCGAGCTGACCGAGCGCTTCTACGCCTCGGCCCAGGACATCTACGAGTGCTTCACCGACGCGCGGCGTGTGCTGGCCTTCACCCAGAGCCCCGCCGAGCTGGACGCACGTGTGGGCGGCGCGCTCTCCATGTTTGGCGGCAGCGTGCAGGGCGTGTTCCGGGAGCTGGCTGCCCCCTCCCGCATCGTCATGGACTGGCGCTTCAGCAACTGGGCGGAGGGCGACACCAGCTGCGTGACCATCGACATCGAGGAGCGGGAGAAGGGAGCCGTCACCCTGCACCTCGTTCAGACCGGCATCCCCGACTGCGACCGCTTCGGCCAGCACGACGTGGTGGGCCTGACACAGGCCGGCTGGGCCAACCAGATCTTCCACCGCATCCGCCAGGTCTTTGGATATGGGATTTAGATCCAGGAGGTTCGAGAGTGCTGGTGTTTCGAAATGTGGGTTGGCTGGGCCAGGTGCCAAGGAAGCGCGGCCAGGTGCTTGGGCCCAGCTTGAGTGCCGCCAGGGGCACCGCTCCATGGTCGAAGCAGGCTCGAGACCCAACCTGCTCACACCATGGACTGCCACAGCACCTCTGCTCACTAGAACTCCAACATGCTGGTCTATTCCCCTCCATTGCTCCTCCACATCATCTCCATTGCTGTCACTCCTCTGTAAAAACTTGACTCCTTCTAGTCTGACGCACCCTATCATGCTCCACGTCAACTGGGACACCTCTGGGACAGCCGTCTGTGACCCATTGGAATTCCCCATCACCAAGTCTCTTCAAGGCAGCCGTCGACCCGGCTCATCACCCCTGCGTGCCTCGTGTCGAGCTCGTCCATTCTACCTTGTTCTCTGGACTGCAATTCATCAGCGCAAGCAAGCGCACGACATCGGCGTGGGGGCATGGGGAGGTAAGCTACAAGGTGCTCAGAGGGAGGGCAGGCGGTCCTCCCCTGCCAGGATGGTCAGCAGGTTGTAGCCAAAGGGGTCAGCCACATGCTTGGACCAGTTGGCAAACGGACCCTCGCCCGTCACGCCCGCCTGCACGGCAAAGCCGAGGAAGGCCACCATGGCGAGCCGCCCGTTCTTGATCTCCTTCACCTTCAGCTCGGCGAAGGTCTCGGGGTCGTCGGCCAGACCCAGGGGGTCGAAGGGACCGCCAGGGTACAGGGGGTCCAGCCCCTGCAGGTCCGACGACTCAAACTTACCCACGCCGGGGGAGTAGCCAGGGGGGCCAGTGCCTGTGTGGTGTGGGGGTGGTCGAAGCATCTGGCATGTTGCTGATTGTGAGAGTGTTGGCATACACCGACTGTACTTTGATTATTTGAAACAAGAAATGGAAACATCATGTTGAGGTCTGCCCTGCAGTACAAGCCGGGTCGACAGCATTGCCTCAGGCCAAGCAACAGGAATTTCCCCCCCCATGCCACATGGAGTACAAACAAGTAGATTGCCCCTCATCACACACACCTCCCCATCAGACGACACCAGAGGCACCCCCCTCCGCTCCTCGCACCTTTGCCGCGGAAGGTCTCCACCTGGAAGAGCAGGACCAGCTCGATGAGGATGGCCCCCGCCAGGGGCAGTGGGTTGCCCACGATGCCCCAGGGCACCGCGAAGTAGTTGAGCGTGCCGCCGTTGAGCATCTCCGCCCCCGTCTCGAACCAGGTGCCGCCGTGGATGTTGGCGCCGTTGGCCTCCAGGCCCTCGGGGATGATGGCCCCGGCCGCGGCCAGCATGGCCCAGCGCGCGTGCAGCAGCTCGTTGGCGCGGTACTTCTCCAGCGTCTCGGAGTTCTTGGCCAGGCCCAGCGGGTCGTAGCCGTAGTCGCCAGGCAGGGTGCCGTTGAGCACGGGGGAGACCTCGTCCCGGTCCAGTAGGCCGTCAGGCAGGTACAGCGCGCGGTCGGGGCCATACCTGGGTGGGATGAGGGGACTCTGGTGGGCCCGAGGAGGACGAGGGGGGACGAGGAGGGGGCATACCACATGCAGCACATCCAGTTTGCTGAGCAGCCAACCCAACCGCTCCTCGACCCCCTGTCCAGGGGCCCAGTCCATGCATGCTTTGCTTACATGCCGTTTCATCGCACTCTTCCAAGCCACCCACCATTGGCTGAGGTTGGTGGAGGAGCTGTTGCTCCCCAGCCAACCCCCGGTGTTCTTGGCCAGCCCCTTCTGCAGCTGCTTCGGGGAGGGCACATTACGCGCGACCTTCTTCACATTGGACTTGACTTGGCCCTCCGCCTTCTTGGCAGCCTTCTTGATGGGGGCCGGGGCCTTCTTGAACAGGTTCTGGACCTGGACCGGCATTGCAGAGGGCTGATCCTGCGATGTTGTGGGGGGATGGGGGGTGAGTACCCGCAACCCGGTCATGCGTGGGGCATGCGGGCTTGCTTGCACCTCGAGCACGTACTTAGAGGGATGGGAAGAGTGGACACGGTCCTGTACGTCGACCTGCAGCGTGCATGTCCTGCGATTTGCCAGCTCTTAAACCCGGCGTCCGGAAGATTGCGATGAGGGGTAGATAGCATGTGGGCCAGTTTTTGACCCGGGAGGGGCCCCGTCACGGGCCCTCGGCCTCTGTCGAGGCACGTCTGATGGTGCAGGCATCGCGGCCCCTCCCAAACCCCTAACTGACACTGGATGCGGCTCCCTGGCCATCTGGGCTGCAACACAAACGGGCAGGGGAGGTGGCAATTCAATGGGCAATCGTACAACGTGTCATGGGCTGGTCAGGTCTGCGGGGTGTCAGTGCGCAGGCTGTCAGTCTGGGGCGCGCCCCCGGGCGCCCGCCGCCCGCGCGTGCTCAGGCCGCGTTCCGCGGTCCCAGCGGTCTCCGGCCTGGGGTGCCGGCGGCGGCGCCCGCCGCCACGGCGGCCATGCCGGGCTGCACGGCGATCTCGCCGTAGGCCTGCTCCTGGGTCAACCGCACGTGGCCCCGGTCCTGCAGGACCAGCAGCTCGAAGAACCAGCGCGCGGCCTCGCTGCGGCCCCTGCCTGCCACCAGCGCCGAGAAGCCCAGCTGCGTGGCCTGGCCGGGGTCGGAGGCGTAGCGGCCCCTGCGTCGCTTGGCCCCCACGTCCGGGGTCGCGAAGCGCGCGCCCAGGGTCTCCAGCACGGCCTGGGTCCTGGCGGTGAAGCCGTCGGGCCGGCCGGCGCCGGAGCTGGTGCCGCTCGTGCCTACTTTTGTGGCCAGTGGGGGGTGGGTGGGTTGCGCGTGAGCATCGAAGGCTGCCGTCGAGGTTGCGGCAGGGTTTGCTGATGTGGCCTGCGAGCATTCCCCAACACCGTCGTCACCAGGGACACCTCACCTGGGGCGGAGCCAGGGGCGGACTCGAGCAGCGGGGGCAGGGCGGGGTCTCCGCCAAGAATCCCTGCTGCAGTCCCCTCGCCTGCATCTCTGACTCCCATCGATGCGGGCGTGAGGCTGGCCGCTCCCATGTCGTCCTGCCACATGTCAGCTTCGTAGCCCTGGGCCCCTGCACTCGAGGGTGGTGAGTGTGGGTGGGGGAGGTGTTCCTGCTCTGCACGAATGGACCCCAGCGGCGGGGAGCAGGCCCCTGGTATACACCCCTGGATGCCGCCTTGCCTGCGTCCTCCCAGGCAGCGAGCTGTTGGGAGCCCTGGGTGGGGCCTGCCTCCCCCTCCATCGGCCCCTGGGTGCCGTCGGGCCAGCGCGCCTCCGCCGGCTCGCTGGCCAGCTCGTCATGAGTCATCCATGCGTCGCCCGGCATTCCGGCACCGAAATGGTGGCGTGGCGCCTGGGTGGACAGAGCTCGGGCAAATAGGGCCTGCAGGGCCGGCGCCAGGCCAGGGCAGCCGCTCCCAGGCGCAGCGGGGTCCGCCAGGCTCAGGTCGATCTGCGAGAGGTGGTTGGGGCCTGAGGCACGTCGATCTCATGGTCGGGTGCAGAATCAGAGAACAATGGGCCAACCCTGGCCACACACCCAGTTTCTTTGCTGACCTCGTGGACAGTCGTCATCGCCCTGGTCCCCACAAAGCCTCCCCGCGTGGCGAGGAGGGAGGAGTGGTCCAGCATCAGCGCGCGCATCTCCGCGGCTGCAGCGGGCGGCGCGGTTGACGGCGGCGTGTGCGGCGTGCGGAGCATGTCGTGAGGGTGGCGCGGAGGTTGCAGCGCGCTGGGTGCTGCAGAGTGCAACCCCGGCACCCATCACGAAAGCGTGGCCTCCAGGGATCCCGGCAACAACCCACAAGGCCAAAACACTGTCTGTCCCTTCTCAAGAGCAGCTCCTCCCACCTGGCAGCTCGGTGGCCGGACGTCCAGAGGCGTCCACATCCAGCTGCACCCTCTTCCTGCGCAGGCGAGCGTGGGCGTGGGAGCCCTCGCGCCGCCGCGCCGGCCTGTCCTGGCTGCCGGGCGGCGTGCCGCGAGGGCCGTGAGGTTGCGCGCCGCCTGCATCCGCGCCGGGCGTCCCGTCCAGGGGAGGCAGGACGTCTGAAAGGCGATGCGGTCCGGGGTGCTCGCCCCCCATCCCCGGGAGGGGCGCCGACCCCGGCCCGGCCGAGGGCAAGGAGGGCGGCCCGCTGGTCGGGGTCTTCAGGGGCGTCAGGCCGTCGAAGAAGCCAGAGGGCGCGGCGTCGAGCGTCTCGTCACCCCCTGTGCATGAATGGAGGTGGGTGTTGGTGTGTTTGTGCATGCCCCAGCTCCCATGAGGGGGGTGGCTCCAGACCCCATCCACCCATGACTCCCCCCCCCCTGCAAACACACCATGAAGGTAGGCGCCGCCGCCCCTCTCGTCTGGGCCCTGGTCGACGTAGAGGACGTCTGCGGCCTTGTCGGCCCGCGGCGCCTCCGCCGCCTGGGACCTCAGGCGCTCCAGCTCGATGCTGAACCGGCGATCCATCTCGTCGTCCGGGATGACCTGCTCAAAGGTGGCCTCCGGGTTGTACCAGCCGCCGGCGCCGCCCTGGCTGGAGGGGCCCCACACCTCCGACACGTCATCTGCGGTGATGAGCGAGGCGCTGCCGGCCGAGGAGGTGCGGCGAGAGGAGGAGGTCCTGGACAGCGTGCCGCCGAGCGTGAAGAGCGCCTCGGGGTCAAACAGGTCCAGTGCCTCCAGAGGGGGGAGGGTGATGGCCACCTCGGGCGCCCGGCCCCCGCCCCGAACCTCTGCCACATGCGCATGCGTCTCCAGCTGTGATGAAAGGAGATTGTGTGTGGGGTGGGGGCGAGCCAGGGTGCATATGTGCTATTGGCAAGACACAGTGACCTCGCAGTCAAGCATCGCCGTCGGCATTCCTCCCAAAGATGCATTCGCTACCCAAGCAGTACCTCTTGCAAGCCTGTCACAGCCTCCTTGGCGTCAGACTCCAGGAACTGGAGTTTTCGGATGTAGACTCGAACGATGCCCAGCAGAAGCTGTCCAGAGAGGCGCAATGCCAGTGGTGCCTCAGGGTTCAGCACCGAGTCTGCACGAGCATACGATGAGCACTTGAACGAGCGCACGATTCAGGTAGATCATGCAGACACAAGGGGAGCTGTGTGACTTTCCGGGGCGGTGCTCGCGCCGGGGGAGGTTGAGTGAACCACAGTACAGGACCCCTCCCTCGCCTGCTGGCACATACGCACCCACGGAGCCGGCAATGCTCGTGCCGACCACCTGCGCCCTCTTGAGCCGGGTGTTAAGATGTGATGCGATCCATATCGTTGCGAGCGGACCCTTCCGACTCAGAATCTGTGTGGAGTAGAACATGCTGCCCGCAGCCGAGGTCGCGAGACCCCCACGCTTAAGTCATGTTAACTAGCAACAGGGGCGTCGAAGCCGGTCAAACAATCGATGCGAGGTAGGTTACGTGGTTTGACAAACTCGAACTTCACAGAAGCCTCCATTGCGAGACCCTATTGCGCAGATGGTCGGGGGAGATGTCGTGGCGCAATTTGAAAATTATGGGCGGAGCGCGCGAAGCCGTGCCACATCCGTTGCTCGACATTGCAAACATGCCCAGGGTCCTGACCTTCCAGCCTCGATCGACATCGAATATAAAAGTGGTCTGGAATACAAAATGAACCGAGCTGAGCGATTGGCGCCGCAATGCGCAGGGACTCGTGCACACTTGTTACCCCGTGGTGGGGTCGTCTTCGCATATGAAGTGGCTGGAGGACAGATGTTGTCTCTCAACACCTCATCCTGACTCAACATTTCACCCAGGTTGGCATCAAGAGCTGATTCCCCAGGCCTTTCTCCCCTCCCGTCTTGAAGTTACAACAATCATGTGTCCATGGACTCGGCGTTAAAGTAGATGGGGTGGCAGGCCAGGGTGTCGAGATTCACCAGCACCAGGCATGGCGAGGCCGAGAAGGCCGGCACGGAGACGACACGCACCCTCTGCCCCGCCTCTCCTGTCACCATCCGCGTCCCGAACTCCGGCTGGTTCCCCGCGAAGAAGACGTGGGGGCAGGTGTCCAGCACGAAGGGGTCGCGGTCGTGGAAGGGGTAGGCGGCCAGCGTGTCTGGCGAGGTGGGCGCCATGTGCCGCCACCTCAGCATCCACTCCAGCACCTCCGTCCGGTCGTCCAGCTCCGCGTACCTGCCGAGAAGGGGTGCGGGTGATGCTTCATGAGAGCGCGGGCAGCGTCACATGTGACTGACAGGGCAGCAGTCCAATGCACCCGCCCGGCGATGGGGTGCCACGGAAGCCCTATGGTCCATGCAACCGCCGAGCTCCGTTCACCAAAGAGACCTTCACCCTGCCCCGCCCATGCTCCAACCACTATCAGCACTCCCCAAGCACATCCATAGGCACATACCGTGCTACACCCTCCCCCACCCCCCCCAGAACAGAAGTACACACCTGACCACGTCGTCCACGTTCTGCCCCGACAGGCCCAGGAAACGCACGCCCTCTACGTCGAACTCGTGGGGGTTGCTGGCGCGCACCAGGCCCTCGCCGGCGGCCGCGGCCCACGGCAGCAGCGCGCGGTGCAGCGCCTGCTGCGGCAGCGATGCGTTGGCGGGGTCGGCCTCCCCCGGCATCACGTCCAGGGGGAGGGCCGCCGCGAGCTGACTCAGCGCCGCGTCGGCGTCGCGCAGGCCCGCCAGCGCGCCCTCACGCGTGCGCGCATCGGCGTAGGTCCCCGCCCGCGCCAGCGCGGCGCTGGAGGCCAGCAGGCCGCCGGCTATGACCATGCGCACCACCCCCGACGCCAGGGTCTGCTCCTCCCTGCCCCCCAGCGCCCCCGTCAGGTAGTCCACCATCAGCTGCAGCGGCAGCGGATCGGCGCCCGCATCCCCAATCCCCAGCCCGGAGGTCAACGCGATGTACCTGTGGTGGGGTGGAGAGGGGGGTGGACGCCGGTGTGTGGCCTTGTGGGAGGTGGTTTGGGAACTTTCGATGCTCAAGGAGTGGGCAGGGGCATGGACGCTCTGCGAGGGGGTGAAGCCGCGCCGCATGCATGCCATCTTCGAAGCTGTCTGCGGGCCCCTTGGCACCACCGCTGGCCCCGCCACCACCCTCCAGCACTGTCCCACCTTGCGGGGGCGCGGGTGACCTGTGGCCCCGAGCCAGGGGAATGCAGGGATAGGGGCGGGGGTGCCACGGGCTGCGCCCCCAGCTCCGCATAGCAGATTTCCGACACGCAGAACTCGCCGCTGGGCAGTATGCGGCCCCGCACCGAGGCCACCACCCCCGTGACCAGGGAGGCGGTGGGCACCACCGGCCCGGTGAGCACGATGCGAGCTCCCTCATCCTCCAGCACCAGCTTGTCGTCGGGCGAGGTGAAGCGGGTGCGGCCTGTATCAGTGTGTGGGAAAGTGTGGAGAGTGGCGGACGGCGTGGCGAAAGGGTGACCAGGGGGACAAGAGCAGGGTTGACGGCAACGACAGGGCAGGAGGGCTATCGACACATCCCTTTTTCCAAACCAGATCCCGATTCCATTGCATGACCAAGAGCCAGCCCGGCGCTGGCCCCCAGCTCCCCGCCAGGTGCCACACCGAGGTGCTGCTGGGTGGTCTTGTCCTTGACATACTCGTCCAGGATGCTCGGCTTCAGCTTCATCTCCTTGTACAGCGTGCCCACCAGCACGCAGTCCACATCCTCCACGGCGTCGATCACTCGCACCTCTGCATGGTGGAGGGTGGGTGCAGGGGGATTCAAAGGGTGGGGGCAATGGGTGGATGGCAACACTCCTCTGGGAGGCCCAGCCTCTACCTAGCTATTGAATTCAGCGGGGATCAGCCCTGCGTCGCCTACTTGAATATACGGCAGGCTGCAGTGCCCACCCACCTGTGCATGAGGGCCAGCGCCTTTTGGCGGAGGCTGACACGGCGGGGCGCAGCTTCAGGAGTCGGTAAAAGTACAGCTGGGCGAATTGCCGATCGTACACTCGCTGCTGCAGCTGGAATCGGTCGTCGTGCAGGGTGTACGAGGCTGTGGCCCGGGTCAGGGGCTCTGTCCGGGCAAGGGTGCTCGCAGGTGTCAGCAGATCGTCATACTTGGAGGACGGCCTGCGCGGTTGATGAAAGATTCAAGCTTAAACTTGCTTCTCGGGCTGTATTCCAGCGCTCAGCCACCCCTTCCCCAGGTCACGGACTTTGAGGCAGGTCCCTCCACCTCCATGGGGACCGTCATCTATGCCCTTTGCTCGACTTCAGGCGGGTGTCCTATTCATGGGACAACTGGTGTAATGTAGTGGTGAATTGATTCTCTAGGGAAGTGAGTATGAATTGACTGGTGCGAAGCCCGAGATCACTTGGCTTTGAAAATCACCGCAGGGCGCGAACTCCGAGCGGACGAGACGATGACAAGGAACGTTGCAGCGATCGACCTGCAAATTGCACTCTTTGACCATCACGTCCCTAACCCAAAAGTAATATTATACCCTTGGAACCTCATTGGCGCTCTGCCAACCAAGGAGGGGTGCTCGGCCGCGAGGTCCCGTCACCGCACCGCGTGTCCATCGGACCCATACCCATGTGCAAGACCATGGGAGATGCTACGGTATCTTACAAGGCTCGGGGCAACGAGGAGTATGCGAAACGAAACTTCCTGAAGGCAGCGGCCTTATACACACACGGACTGCAGGCTGATCCCAAGAACGCGACGCTCTACAGGTATGTTTGAGCGATTCCTCTATACCGATAGCAATCACTACATGTGAATGGCGACTCCCCCAACATCACCACAGCAATCGGAGCGCGGCGCTGCTGAATCTTAACAAGGTCACGAAAGCCTTGGCTGATGCGGAGGCCTGCATCAGTCTACGGCCTGACTGGGATAAAGGCTACTTTCGGAAGGGTCTGGCTCTAGAAGCAGCAGGGAAGGGCCAGGAGGTAGGACGGGATGTGCTTGGAAGGGAGGAGTCTATGCTGAGAAGGTATTTGTGTTGCACACTGGGACAGCCCAAGTGTACGTGCCCCACTGTGACCTATGCCATCCCCGTCGCAGGCACTCGAGGCGTACCAGCAAGCATCCCAACTTGGGGAAGGCGAAAACAACCAGGCAGCACTCAAAGTCAGACAACTAACAAAGCAGCTTGGCAAGAACAGCAAGTGACATGCTCCATAGGAAAGTCCCTTTTGTGATCCTCTCTAGAAGTTGGATCTTAAGTGCCAGGATCTGGGGGTGTCGACTAACCAAGTCAGAGACTACTCTAACAATGAAAGTTATAGGTTGGGAAAACGGCGAGGTAGATCTGGAAATTCCCACTTGCGCGCGACGATCTCCACCTCCCGAGAGCGCGCCATGCAAAGCAGAAGGACAGTGTTCACCGACTTCGGAATTTTGTAACTGAAATCTCACTTATTACACATACAAAACATTTCACGGAAGTCCCTTCGCCAAATGGAGACCGCTAAGGCCCTGCAAAATAGACTCGATGCGGTGTTCGGGGGCCTGGAGGGAGCAGGCTCCTCTACGAAGCCATGGCTGCCGACACTCCAGCCTGTATTCAGGGCCGGAAGGATAGAGACTCACAGCGATGATGAGGACGAGAAAGTGGAGGAGCGTCGGCGGCAAGGCTTGGAAGGTAAGCTGAGCGTCCTTATGTCAGACGCATGCCTGTTGTGCAGGCTGAAAATATCCAGCGGGCCTGAAATATGTCCACCCCATGCAGGTATCGAGGAGCTTCTAGAAGAAGACCCAGATCGGGCCCCCTCATACGCCTTCTGCAGAGTCGTGGTGAGCAGCCTGTGGATGTCTGGGCGAGGGCGACCAGACTGCTGGGTTATGTTGTGTGTGCTCACCCCTCATCTACCCGATAAATCTTGCAGGATGGCGAGGAGGACTTCAGCGCAGTGGACGCCGTCGCCGACCCGCTGGCGGAGGACCCTTCCCTGCCGTCCCTGTCGACTCCAGTGGACGAGGCTGGGGGTGAAGGGGCGGGCACTTCCTCGAGGCTGGGCCGCCCTCCACAGCAACGACCAGGACCCCTCCCCGCCGCCCTGAAGAAGGGTCGGCTCTTGGACCATGAGGGACAGGCCGTGGCCCCCTCGATTGTGCCAGACCACGTGCGGCATCCGGAGCGGTATATGCGGTACACTTTCGACCAGGAGATCCAGGTTGGAGGTGGCGTGGCGCAGCTGGCCGAGTCCGCCACAACCCAAGTGAGCGGGAAAAGGAGTGAAGAGGGTCTGCAGTCGGCCTGGTACCTGTATCGCTGAGTCACACAGGGAGCACAGGTCCTTGACTCCGGCTGCCATCACCACAGATGCAGGAGCATGTGCGGCGCAGTTTGTCACTTTCGAAATCCCCTCCCACAGGTTGTCCCGCCCACCCCACCCCAGCTCCCAGACGAGGGAGGGGCCATGGAACAGTCGGGCAGCGAGCTGAGTGGGCCGCAACAGCAGCCTGCAGACCGTCAGCTCCCTGCTCCGGGCAAGGGCGCGGTGACATTCCGGCCTCGGGACAGGCCTGTCGCAGGTGGCACCCGGGCGCGTCCCTCCCGAGGCATCGGCAAGGCAGGCGAGGGACCGAGCCTTGACCTGCCGGAGGAGGACGGGTACATGGGGGAGGAGGCACCCCCCGCGTCCCCCTTGCGGCAGGCCCAGCGGCAGTCTAGCGTGCGGCGGTACCGGCGTGCCGGAATGGAGCAGTGACTGGGACAGGGCTCGTGTTTCAACGTCCAGGCGTGCATGCCGCTGTAGCGCTGAGTGCATGCTGAAGGGTGCGTATGAACGAGGTACTCGGGACCTCTAGCGAGGCCTGGCGAGCACACGATACGCAGGTGGGAGATGGGTGAATACTTGGCGCTGAGCTTCCCGGGTGGGACATGGTGGGGGCATTCCTCTGAGGAGCAACTCGACTGCCGCCTCCATGGTCAGGATGGCCCCGACCAGATCCAGTGCAGCGCCGCTCGGCCATCGCTGGGCTCACAGTGGGCTCGACGAGTGGTGCACGGGCGCCCGGTCCTGAGCGGGGACAGGGACGATGCCCGGCGGCAGATCAAACTCCGCAAACGGGTCCTCCGACGTCCGCCCAGGGCTGCAGTGGGTGTGTGATTGGGGGGCCCTTGTTACTCAGGGGACTGAGTGGCACGGGCAGGAGCAGGCGGCGCATCGGCGCACGCAACAGGCCTCAGCACTCTGCCTCGGCGCGGTACACAGAGGTCCATTCCGCTGTGACATCTTCCGGCACGCGTAGCCTTGCCCCCAGTCTCGACAACCTCGCTGCTCTCCAGCATCCCCCACCCCCCCTTTCCACCTTGGCCCACCTGGTGAGGTTGGCCGCGGGCGTGGCCGGGGCGAGGGCCGGGGCCGAGGAGCGCAGCTGGCCCTCGCCGCTCCGCCCCTCGGCCCCCTGCGCCCCGCCCGCCTCGGCGCCCGGGGCGCAGGCGGCGCGGCGGTGGGGGCTGGCCGGCGCGCCGAGCTGCGAGCGCCAGCCTCTTCGTCGTCGCCAGCCTCTTCGTCGTCGCCAGCCTCTTCGTCGTCGCCAGCCTCTTCGTCGTCGCCAGCCTCTTCGTCGTCGCCAGCCTCTTCGTCGTCGCCAGCCTCTTCGTCGTCGCCAGCCTCTTCGTCGTCGCCAGCCTCTTCGTCGTCGCCAGCCTCTTCGTCGTCGCCAGCCTCTTCGTCGTCGCCAGCCTCTTCGTCGTCGCCAGCCTCTTCGTCGTCGCCAGCCTCTTCGTCGTCGCCAGCCTCTTCGTCGTCGCCAGCCTCTTCGTCGTCGCCAGCCTCTTCGTCGTCGCCAGCCTCTTCGTCGTCGCCAGCCTCTTCGTCGTCGCCAGCCTCTTCGTCGTCGCCAGCCTCTTCGTCGTCGCCAGCCTCTTCGTCGTCGCCAGCCTCTTCGTCGTCGCCAGCCTCTTCGTCGTCGCCAGCCTCTTCGTCGTCGCCAGCCTCTTCGTCGTCGCCAGCCTCTTCGTCGTCGCCAGCCTCTTCGTCGTCGCCAGCCTCTTCGTCGTCGCCAGCCTCTTCGTCGTCGCCAGCCTCTTCGTCGTCGCCAGCCTCTTCGTCGTCGCCAGCCTCTTCGTCGTCGCCAGCCTCTTCGTCGTCGCCAGCCTCTTCGTCGTCGCCAGCCTCTTCGTCGTCGCCAGCCTCTTCGTCGTCGCCAGCCTCTTCGTCGTCGCCAGCCTCTTCGTCGTCGCCAGCCTCTTCGTCGTCGCCAGCCTCTTCGTCGTCGCCAGCCTCTTCGTCGTCGCCAGCCTCTTCGTCGTCGCCAGCCTCTTCGTCGTCGCCAGCCTCTTCGTCGTCGCCAGCCTCTTCGTCGTCGCCAGCCTCTTCGTCGTCGCCAGCCTCTTCGTCGTCGCCAGCCTCTTCGTCGTCGCCAGCCTCTTCGTCGTCGCCAGCCTCTTCGTCGTCGCCAGCCTCTTCGTCGTCGCCAGCCTCTTCGTCGTCGCCAGCCTCTTCGTCGTCGCCAGCCTCTTCGTCGTCGCCAGCCTCTTCGTCGTCGCCAGCCTCTTCGTCGTCGCCAGCCTCTTCGTCGTCGCCAGCCTCTTCGTCGTCGCCAGCCTCTTCGTCGTCGCCAGCCTCTTCGTCGTCGCCAGCCTCTTCGTCGTCGCCAGCCTCTTCGTCGTCGCCAGCCTCTTCGTCGTCGCCAGCCTCTTCGTCGTCGCCAGCCTCTTCGTCGTCGCCAGCCTCTTCGTCGTCGCCAGCCTCTTCGTCGTCGCCAGCCTCTTCGTCGTCGCCAGCCTCTTCGTCGTCGTCAGCATCTTCGTCGTCGTCAGCCTCCTCCTCCTCCTCACCCTCCTCCTCCTCCTCCTCCTCCCCGTCGTCCTCCTCCTCCCCCTCCCCAGGCCCGCGCTCCGGCCAGGCCACGGCACCGTCCAGCACGTTCTGGAAGATGGCCTCGGGCGTGTTGGCGGCAAAGGGCGGCCGCCCCACCACCATCTCGTACAGGATGACGCCCAAGCTCCACCAGTCCACCTCCGCGCCGTGCCCCGTGCCCAGCAGCAGCTCCGGGGCCAGGTAGTCTGGCGTGCCCACCGCGCGGCCACCCTCCTCGGCGCCGGCCACCACGTGCGGCGCGTCCTGCACGCGCCACGCCCCCGACCCCAACCTGCCTCGCCGCTCGGAGAGGGACGCCGCGCGGCGCGGCGCCGAGGCGGCGGCGGCGCCGCCGCCGCTCGCCGCGCTGGCGCTGGACAGGCGCGCCGCCAGGCTGGCGCGGGGGGAGGAGTGGGCGGAGCCCTCGCCCGACCCGGACCCGGCCTCCGTGCCGCCCGAGGCGTCTCGATCCATGTCGGGGACACGGGGGTGGGGGTCGGTGCGGTCGATCACGCCGAAGCAGGACAGGCCTGGGTGGGTGGGGGGAGAAAGGGGGGAGAAAGGGGGAGGCTGGCTTGAAGGCGGAACGGAAGGAGTGGACAGGGGGCAAGATAAGGAGTCAAGGGCTCTGTCGGCCCACAGGGGGCACGGGGGTGTTCCATGAATTTGTTGAAGCACCGCGTGCCACAACAAATCCCCCTCGCCAACTACAACCCGAACACCACCATCACACCACAGCATGCATCCCGCCTCCCCCACCCTGTCCCACCAAAGTCGGCGAGCTTGATGTGGCCGTCCGCGGCGATGAGCAGGTTGTCGGGCTTGAGGTCGCGGTGAATGATGCCCTGCGCGTGGCAGTACTCCAGCGCCAGCACCGTCTCCGCGGCGTACTGCCGCGCCACACCCTCGCTCAACCCGCCGAGCGCGCGGAGGAGGGAGAAGAGGTCGCCCCCCGCCGCGTACTCCATGACCAGGTAGAGATTGGCGTGGGAGGTGAAGGAGGTGTGGAAGCGGATGACAAAGGGGTTGCGCGCCGCCGCCAGGATGTTGCGCTCGTTGCGCACGCTCTGCACCATGTTCTTCCGGATCAGGTCCGCCTTGCGCATGACCTGGATTGGGTTGTTGTTTTGGAAGGGGGTGGGAGGGGCTTGGTGAGACAGCCGCGCAGGGCAGCAGCGGTTGATGGTGAGGTGAGTGGGAGGGCAGCCCTGCTCTTGCTCATGAACATGTGACCCGGTGGCCCTCACAGAACCCTGCGCCTGGTCCCCGCCCCCCCCCCCCCCAGCCCACCCTACCAACCTTGATGGCGTAGAGGTCGTCCCCCGCCCGCTTGCGCGCAAGGTAGACGCGGCCGAACGCGCCGCGGGAGATGGGCTTCAGCACCTCGAACTCGTCGATGCTGGTGGCCGCGCCCACGCCCCCCCGCGGCGAGGACGCGCCCGACCCGGGGTCGCGGGCGCCCAGCCCTTCCGCCCCGCCCAGCCCCGCGCGCAGCTCGGCGGCCTTGGCCTCCACCAGGGCCAGCAGGCGCGCCCCCGCAGCGCGCACGTCGGCGGGCAGCGCGGCGCCGGCGCCGTCGGGCGGGGAGCCGCCGCCCCCCGACGCCAGCCGGCCGCGGGGCCCCGCCACCACGCCCCCGCCCAGCACCTGCTGCACCACACCCACGAGGTCCTGCGGATGGAAGGGGGAATGTGGGTATCCGGGTGGATGGGTGTGGGTTGCTGAGCGGTGACTCATCAAGCATCGGCACAGGAGACCCTTGGGTGTCCGTCAACCCTGCAGGATTCCTCACGTGGGGGGCCTGCGGTGCCGGCCAGGGTATCCAACTACGCCAGCATCGGCCGCCCCCGTCCCAACCTCCGCACGCCGCATCACCACACTACACATGCACGAACCCCGCCCTCAGTGATTGCAAGCCCACCTCGCAGCGCGCGGCGGGGAGCGAAGTGCCGTCCGGCTGCAGCGAGGCAGCGCCCCGCGCGGCCGCCACCAGCTCCTCCACCGCCTCGGCCGGGGTCCAGGAGGCGCTGGACTCGGAGGAGGCGCGGCGCGCCGGATCGAGGGCGGAGGCGCGCCGTGGCGTGGCCGCGCCCGTGGCGGAGGGGGTTGCGGCTGGGGTCAGCCCCGGCGCGAGCGTGTCCTCCACGAACCCGGCCAGGCGCGTGAGCGCGGCGTCCACGCCGCCCGCGCCGGCCGCCAGCGCGTCCAGCCGTGCGCACAGCGCCTCGCGCGCGG